CTCGTTTGTATAATTCACGGATTTGTATAAATTCGCAGGTTTGTATAATTCGCGGGTACATTTGTATAAATTCGAAATATATAACGAATTTATACAATTACAAACATCAGAAGTGTAAACAATTATACAAATTATATTATACAAATTACGAATTATACAAAAGTTATACAAATTATATTATACAAAATCTGAATTATACAAACGTGCGAATTATACAAAACTAAAAAGTTGAGCTGCGTAATTATAGCTAAAAGTAGCCCCGAATTGTAAATAAGGCAAACTATAGTTATGTTAAGTAATTAACTATTATATGTTTGCTTATATGTAATTTTCCCTCACAACAACAACCACAATTAGTGTCTTGAGTATGGAAGAAGAAAAGTGAAGTAGAAGGAAGAAGAAGTTAGGTAATCTTGATCCAATAGACATTTTGTTTAGTTTTCCGAAATAATTTCATTTACTTAATAAGCTTTCGATATATTTACTCATCACAATTACTTCAAAGTATGAGAGTAGGCCTTTTGTAATTTGCGCAGTTTCTTGGACCACAATTACAAGTCTTCAATATTACTCTATGGTCTCATTTTATATCCAAGTGGCATAGCTATATTGTCCTAACAATGGTTACTCAAACACCTTTTGTTAAAAAATTAAATTGTGCATATAAAAAATAATTCTTATTTATAAATCAAAATCAACTTTCTAGAACTATATGCTAAAGTTTTAAATATCCTTAGTAAAATTTCTAATTTTACTGTCATTTTATTTCCGCGGATATATAGAAATTTATCATAATATTTTTCCATCCGATAGCGTCTAAGAAAATTATTAGCATCTTTATCTATATTTATCATCTAAAGGTCAAAGTGGATTTGGTCAATGATAATTTTGGGACAATATACATATAGGAAGTTTGACACAAAACCCCATCAATTTTGATAAATTTAAGAAATTACAATTTCTTATTAAGGTCTAGTTTGGCCTATAATGCTCCAAACAGAATTTTCTCAAAACCCAAGGCTCGAACTCGAGACCTTCAAATAAGGATGGCACAATCCCATCACTGCACCACAACTCATGATGGTAACATTTAATGACTAGAGTATTTGTTTAATCTTTATGTTCCAATAATGCAGAGGAAATGTTGAAGTTTTCTATACAAATTTCTTTATTTAAGGCGACATATATAATATATATAATATATTGATCATCAATTCTAGAAGATAAGATATGTAAGATTTAAAAATTGGAGAAAGATATTCTCTAATTTGTTTTATTGATCGTTATCAATGATATGAATAATTATACCAATAATGCTAAGTACGAACAAAATATAAAAATAAAAACTGATAATATATGAATAAGCATAACAATTATTGACTAATCTTTGGAATGTATATATATACTTTTCAATTACGAAAAAAAAAATGCACGCAGAGTTCAATTTTGCTTTTTAAAACTTAAAAAAGAAAACTCTATCACGGATTAAGAAATGTTTTACGAATAAAGTATGTGAAAACACAACAGTTAGTAATATGTATTTCAATTCTTGACTTTCCTATCATTTTGTGAATTTTAGTATGATGATATATGGAAAGTACCCCTTTACGAAACTCATTTTTCACAAATGCTCTTAAATCATAATTTCCACTCATGTCTAGATGTATGTGTTAGGGTATATACTATTAATCATGCGTTTAGACATAGTATTCTAATAATTTTCAAGATTAAATATCTAAGTGGGAGATTGTTAGGGTATATACTATTAACCATGCATTTAGATATAGTACATTATAACAATTGTGATGGTTAAAAGTCTAAGTGGGAGATTGTTGGGATATATACTATTAACCAAGTGTTAAGAAATAATATTTATTATAGCATAAATATTTGCTCAATTTAATAGATCATATATTCGTTTATGGTGTCTATTTACTTATATAGTAGATGATTTAGTGTGTAGAGTTTTAGCTTATACACACAGGATTAAATCATCGGTTCTTATAAGTATAAAGTTTTTTGTTCACAATCTAGGATGGAAATTGGGCATTCCATCGGTACGATTGTAGCACAAGATTATAGGTAATTTATCTTGATTATGGGAACGGTATAGTTCCAACTTCTTGTGCTAGTGCATTTTGTATGTATTGAATGGGACCGAGTAGAGATAGTTGTTTTAGACTGACTGACAAAACATATTCTCTAAACTATTAAATGTACTTATATTCTTAATCTTGATATAACTATTATGATCTGTATATATTAATTATCGTTTTGATTTATTAAAGGTGAGATTCTGAGATGGGTCAATATGCTTGGTAAGTTGGATGATAATAATATATATTGGTGAAATAATAAGTTCGTTGATGGAATCCATGTCTCGTTATAGAGATTGATTGATATGCCTTTTTGAGAAACTTATAAGTTTTCATCGTGTCAAACCTTGCAAGTGGATTTATGAATCCGACACATGAAATGAGTTAAGTAGTGCTCTAAAGGAAATTAATCATTAAGTTAAATTCGTTAGTAATTTAATTTATTGATTAGTAGCTGAAATCTTAACATGGGGAATTACATAAGTGTTTAATGGGGAATTACGAAATATAATTAGAGGAGTGCAATTACGAATTTCTAGTGGAATGATTTGTAATTTATTATGGTAAGAATAATTCAAATTAATTATTTGGAATTATTTCCATAATAGGAAGCCTTAGTAATTAATTTTGTGGTCCCTCCAGTGCCCATATTTAACTAGAACTCAAAATCCTAATTCTAAAGGGAAAACAGGAGAGGCATTAGTTTTCTTATAAAAAGAAAACTAGCGTGTATTTTTCGGTTGAAGAAAAATAACGTGTGTTTGGTTCTCCTCTTTGGACTGTGAAGAAATCTCTATAATTAAGGGTTCTTCTAGCCCTAGATGGATTAGTTATTCTATTCGATACTTGCCCACCCAAGTATTGAGAGAGTTCAGATGTGAACTTGGGATCACTGTTGAAGACCATAGCTATCTTGTAGATTCACTTGAAGGGCTGTCTAACTTGGGGATTCGCTTGAAGGTATTTGTTCACGCTTCAAGAGGTATTTATTAAATTAAATTTCAGTATGTTTATGTGTTCTAGCATGATTATGTGTTATAATATAAACGGTATTAGTTATCTATTATTCATGTAAGCAGTAAAGATTTAAGTATGCTTCCGCTGTGCATATAGTTTTCCAACAGTATGCTCTTAATGTTTCATGTTATGTATGGATATGCTCGGGTCAATAATCGAATTAGGTGTTGATTCCGTCGAGAATGTAGGCTTGGGGCATGACAGATTTTGTAAGAGGAAAGTCATAAGTTGAGTGATTTTATCGATACAAAACTAAATTTAATGACTTTGTTTAATAATTTTACATACTTGAGTTATATAACCTTTTGATATTTACTTAGGGGTGTCAAATGGGTGGGTTTGGTTGAAATTGGAGATATTAAAATAGGTTGAGATAGAAATCGGGTTGGGTCTTGACCCGCCCAAGTTTACTTTGGGCTCAAATGGGTTGGGTTCAAATGACCTAAAAAACGGATTGGGTCTTGACCCGATTAATCTCAATAATTTTAATATAGTGATATTTAACTTTTATAATCGCAATTCAAATTTCCGCTCAAGATTTTTTTTTTTTTTAAAGTAACAAATGGATAGATAAATCCTAAAAGATGTTAAATAGATAATAATTCGTATCTTTAATATAGGAACATATTTTAGTAAAGAGTTTTAAAACGGGTTGAAATTGAAGATTGAATTGGGCTCAATTGAGGATTCTCTTAAAATGGGTTAAGCTTGAATGGGTTGAGATTAAACCCAATTCAAATTATCTTGAGCCCAAGCCTTAAAATTCTGGGCAGATTACCTATGTTTGGGTTCACTTTTGACACCCCTAATTTACTCATCACAATTACAAATATTTAGACATTTTGAGTTCAACGTATTATAATAATGTATAAATTTTAGGAATCACATAGTTTTAATATAAAATTTGAATCTATCCCTATTTAGTTTGTGATTACATTAATCCCTGAAAAAGTAAAACTAACCGGATACAGCTCGGATACATTAAAAACTAGCTCGGATACATTATAAAATAAACCAGATACATAATATGTGGCACAGATACATTAAAAACTAGCTCGGATACATTATAAAATAATTTAGAATTAGGAGAGAAATAAGGGATTTTAGAGATTTTTAGAAATAGAAATAAATATTAGAAATAAGGAAACATAAAACGTGTATTTTATTAATTTTTCCTATAATGTATGCAGTGTCTTGGACCACAATTACAAGTCTTCAATATTATTAAACCTTCTCATTTTATACCCGTGGAGATATATGTACAATATATTATATATGTAGAAATTTATGCTGATATTTTCGTATTAACATCTTTATCCATATTTATCATATAAAGGTCAAAGTGGATTTGGTAAATGATATTTTTGGGATAATAGACATATAGGAAGTTTGACACAAAACCCCATCAATTTTCATAAATTTAGAAAAATTACAATTTCTTATTAAGGTATAGTTTGACATTTAAAAAATCAAGTCGGACAAACGGGTACGTTAATGATTAGAATATTTGCTTAATCTTTATGTCCCAATAATGCGGAGGAAATGTCAAGTTTTCTACGCAAATTTCATTATTTAAGGCGACATATATATTATATATATAATATATTGATATATAAATAATTATACGCATGTTATGACAGTAAGATAAAAATAAAAACAAATAACCCACGTTAGGCATGAGGAAGATCTTTTATATGAATAAACATCACAGTTGACTAATCCTTTTGGTGCTTGGAAGTTTCATTTGTGTTTGTCTCCAATAAATTAGAGGTATTAGGATTTGAAACTAATCAAGCTTCTTTAATTTCCCCTAGCTAAAACTATAAGTAGAAGCTGTTAGTTTCTATTTTCTCCATTATCAAACTTTGCAACAACAAATAATCAATTATGACTACTTTCAACAAGTTAACAATCCTTCTCTTTCTCTCAATTTGTCTTACATCATCATGGGCCAACAAAACTCATGACGACTTTTTTGAATGTCTTACTCACAAAATTACGAACTCAATATCACAAGTCATCCACACTCCTAAAAACTCACTATACTCCACCATTTTGAACTCCTTTTCAGATAACCTAAGGATAACCTCCGACTTCAAACCATCAATTATTTTCACTCCTACCAACGAATCTCAAATCCAGGTAGCTATACATTGCTCCAAGATACATGACCTACAAATCAGAATTCGAAGTGGTGGACATGACTATGAGGGTCTTTCACACATTTCGGAGACCCCTTTTTTCATAATTGATCTTAGGAACCTAAGATCAATATCCATTGATACCCAAAAAAAGACTGCTTGGATTCACGCTGGCGCGACCCTAGGGGAAGTTTACTATAGAATCGCTCAAAAAAGTAAAAATTTGGCCGTAGTTGGTGGTGTTTGCCCAACAGTTGGTGTTGGTGGATACTTTAGTGGTGGAGGGTATGGCATGATGTCACGAAAGTTCGGTACTGCTGCTGATTACATCATTGATGCAAAATTGATCGATGCTAATGGACGAATCAAGGATCGAGAATCAATGGGTGAGGATCACTTTTGGGCTATTAGAGGAGGTGGAGGGACTAGTTTTGGTCTCATTATCTCATGGAAGGTGAAATTAGTCGACATTCCTGAAAAGGTGACTGTGTTCAATGTGACACGAAGGTTGGAACAAAATGTAACTCAATTAGTCTACAAATGGCAACATATCGCGGACAAAGTTGATGATAATCTCCTCCTCAGGATCTTCCTGAAGAGCAATATTGAATCTCCATTCAGGCGTGGACAAAGGACTGTCCACGCCTTTTTCACTACAATGTTTGTTGGAGGAGTAGATAAACTCCTCCGCGAAATGCAAAAGAGCTTCCCGGAACTAGGGTTAGTGAAAGAAGATTGCATTGAGATGAGTTGGATCGAATCTATACTCTTCTTTGCGGGTTTCCCTAGGGGCACATCACTTGATGTGTTACTAGATTGGAATAGCACAACTAATCAAGAGTACTATTTCAAAGGGAAATCAGACTATGTCCAACACCCAATTTCTATAAATGGTCTTGAAGGTATATGGAAACTATACAATCAATTAGGGGAAAATTCGGGTGTTGAATTACAGTTTAGTCCTTATGGAGGAAAGTTGAGCGAAATCTCAGAATCTGAAACTCCTTTCCCTCATAGAGCTGGAAATATATTCATGATCGAGTATTCAGTATTTTGGGTGAAAATGGAAAATTCTAAGAGAAACATAGCTTGGAATCAAAAACTTTATCGACACATGGCTAAGTATGTGTCAAAATCTCCAAGAGCTGCTTATTTCAACTATAGAGATCTTGATTTAGGAGTGAACAATATTATTGGAAACACAAGCTATGAACAAGCAAGAATTTGGGGAGTGAAATATTTCAAGAACAACTTTGATAGATTGGTGAATGTGAAGACAAAAATTGATCCAACAAATTTCTTTAGAAATGAACAAAGTATTCCCCCTCTTTTTGCGGAGGTTGGACGATCTAAGATAGCTTCATCTGCCCTCTTTTTGAAGGATAAATTTGTATCCTTGTGTTATGTTCGGAGGTAAGGCCAAGCCCCCCTCTTGTATGCATATTCCGATATATAACACCCCAGACATGGGAAATTTAAAGAAAATAAAATTGAATAAATAATGTATAATTGTGTATAGATGATTTAAAATTATGTATTAGAGATGTATATACATTTATATACGTTGTTGATACAATAAAGTATACACTGCAACCTTTTTTTTATATATATAATCCCAACCAACTCAAATCTCCCCTAGATAGTCTCAAAATTTAGATATAAACCCCTCTCAATGTTTAAAGTCTTTTAATATATTATTCATCCGAAATAACTCATATTTGCAGCACATCAAATTTTAAAATTAATGTCTGAGTATGGAAGAATAAGAGGATGAAGAAGGAAAGCAACGAAAAAAGAAAGAAGAAGTAGAGGCTTGTAGCTTGCTTCTGTCCTTAGTCAATTTTGGACTGAAGCTGTTCTGACTATCGTATCTTTTTTTGAACCGAATACCTTCTTCTATAATCTCAGGTCTCTCTCTTTTTGAGAGAAGATTTTCTAGAATGGAGGCTTCTCCTTTACTTTTTTAGAGTGTATCGCTATTTTGAAATAAAAAAAAGATTTATGGATGAAGTAATTGTTGGTGTTAAAGGGAGAAATGCGAGGAGTCAACCCTTATACGAGAGGACTAGGTTGGGCTAACCTATGATGTACCGGTTGTTATACCAATAGCAGAAGCAGTAACAACAAGAGGAACTTTCGCAAATAGCCACTATCATAAACTTAATTATGCTCCATAGTTATAGTTTGCATATTTATGGGTTGTAGTGACAATTTAAGCTATCTCGTTTGTATAATTCACGTATTTATATAAATTCGTAGGATTGTATAATTCGTGTGTACATTTGTATAATTCAATTATTTTTGTAGAAATTCAAAATAACGAATTTATACAATTACAAACATCATAAGTGTAAACAGTTATACAAATCACGAATTATACAAAAGTTCTACAAATTATATTATACAAAATCTGAATTATACAAACGTGCGAATGATCAAAACTAAAAAGTTGAGCTGCGTAATTATAGCTTAAAGTAGACCGTGAATTGTAAATAAGCAAACTATAATTATGTTAAGTAATTAACTATTATATGTTTGCTTATATGCGTAATTTTCCCTAACAACAACAACCACAATTAGTTTCTTGAGTATGGAAGAAGAAAAGTGAAGTCGAAGGAAGAAGAAGAAGTTAGGTAATCTTGATCCAATAGACATTTTGTTTAGTTTTCCGAAACAATTTCATATACTTAAGTAAGCTTTCGATATATTTACTCATCACAATTACTTCAAAGTATGAGAGTAGGCCTTTTGTAATTTGCGCAGTTTCTTGGACCACAATTACAAGTCTTCAATATTACTATATGTTTTCATTTTATATCCAAGTGGCATAGCTATATTGTCCTAACGATGGTTACTCAAACATCTTTTGTCAAAAAATTAAATTGTGCATATATAAAATAATACTTATTTATAAATCAAATTCAACTTTTTAGAAATATATGCTAAAGTTTTAAATATTCTTAATAAAATTTCTAATAATACCGTCATTTAATTTCCACGGATATATAGAAATTTATCATAATATTTTTCCATCCGATAGTGTCTAAGAAATTTATTGGCATCGTTGTCCATATTTATCATCTAAAGGTCAAAGTGGATTTGGTCAACGATAATTTTGGGACAATATACATATAGGAAGTTTGACTTAAAACCCCATCAATTTTGATAAATTTAAGAAATTACAATTTATTATTAAGGTCTAGTTTGACCTACAACATAATTTTTTCAAAATTCAAGACTCGAACTCGAGACCTTCAAATAAGGATGGCACAGTCCCGTCACTGCACCACAACTCATGATGGTAACGTTTAATGACTAGAGTATTTGTTTAATCTTTATGTTCCAATAATGCAGAGGAAATGCTGAAGGTTTCTACACAAATTTCTTTATTTAAGGCGACATATATATTATATATAAAATATATTGATCATCAATTCTAGAAGATAAGATATGTAAGATTTAAAAATTGGTGAAAGATTTTCTCTTATTTGTTTTATTGATCGTTATCAATGATATGAATAATTATACCAATAATGCTAAGTACGAACAAAATATAAAAATAAAAACTGATAATATATGAATAAGCATAACAATTATTGACTAATCTTTGGAATGTATATATATACTTTTCAATTACGAAAAAAAATATTGCACGCACAGTTCAATTTTGCTTTTTAAAATAAAAAAAAGAAAACTCTATCACGGATTATGAAATGTTTTATACCATTTTTTGGTGCGGAACTGGTAGTTGGGGGATTCATGAAAGTCGTAGTGTGCCATTTTTCGGTGCGGAACTGGTAGTTGGGGAATTCATGAAAGTGGTAGTGTGGTTGGTGGTAGTGTGTTAGGTGAGTATTTTATTTTAAAGATTTTATTGTAGTATTCTTTTGCCAAGTGTCTTAATCTTGGTATTTCTTTAATATTAGGTGTGAAATTCATGGTAAAATATAATATTGTTCTTCCGATAGTTGTTTTAATCTGAATATTTCATTAATATTATTTATGATATATTCTAGATATAACATATCTTGGGTTCTTTGGTACATATATAAATTTTCCTTCATTAATTGTTCTAATAATTTTATATCTTTCATAGATTCTGTCCAATATTGTAAATATTCGTAGTTCATTTTAGTCTGAATTTATTTCTAAATCGTACTATTCTATTCTTTCGTAGTCTAAATCATGTAAGTCTATTTCATACCATTGTTGGTTTAATATATCTTCCGATTCGTTATCATTAAATATTTTTTCCCATATGATCCTTCTTAATTCAATTATTTTTATATCTTTAAGTATATATAATATTAAAGTTTCGTAGTTTTTTATCGTTTCATTATGAACGTAAGTAGTCATGTTCTTTATCATGCAAGTTTTTTATTTCAAATTATTCCTTCCTATCATATTCATAATTGATTAAATTCATATTAGATCATTATGAACTAGATTATCTTTATCATGTTTTCCTGTCACTATTAGCATCGTACTTTAGCGGATACTTCCTTCTTATCAGCGCCTCAACTTTGTTTACTCCCCTAAACGGCTTTCCTGGCATAGTATAGAAGTTTTTTCCGTGTTTCCAGTGTGCTAATAAACTAGAAATCATGATTCAAATAATATTAATACATAATAACTAACATAAATTTATTCAATCATATATATGATATTCAGGAATATATGAAATTAGTTCTGCATATTTTTTGAACAATATACTTTTGCCTCTTGCTTAGCTATGCTATCTGAAATATCTTAGTGGATTTCAGATTTCGCCATATTAACTTTTAAGTATTTTTATATCTTTAGGGGAGAGAGTGTTTTTAAGAAAATGTTTATTACGTTAGGCATTGCCTGCCTTTCATTTACATATATCCTCCCTTATATAGAGAAGAATTCTTACTTACTACTTAAAATAATGTACCTATATAGAATAATAATGTGCCTAATAATATAGTATGACACACCATACCTACTACTTATGACACACCATACACTTGTCCACTTAATAAATTACACCCTCTACCATCCCTTACACATGCCCATCCTTATTATGACACACATTATGACTCACTACTTAACATTATGACACACTACTATTCACACCATACTTTATTGACTATTTTACAAGACAAATAATTTTACTCTTATCTCATCTTTTTATTTTGTCCGCATCTCATCTTAATCATCTTATCTTCTTATCATCTGCTTCCGTCTTTATCTCTTTATTCCAGCTGGACGTCTGAGATTATATTATCTTCTCCGTTACATTTTGAACATATATGGTCAGGGTATTTGTGACCAATTAGCTTGCAATATCTGGTTAATAATTCTGCCGAAATAAATCCTTCTTTTAGTGCTCGTGTCGTAGGTCGTTCTTCTGGCTTAAGTAGTGATAAAATTCATCTTTGGACTTCATTCATATCTGCTTTCCTTAGCTCACTTGAATTGGAATAAATCATTAGTTGGTCTCTTGCATAGTAGCTCCATATAGCGTTTCCGTTTAAATAGTTATTTGCTAGCTCTTGTATAATCGTTGATATACCAATTATCCTTTTGTTGGCATAAAAACTCGGTATCTCTATTTTGCATATCTTTTCTTGTTGTCCGATATCCTCCGGTATAATCATATCTTTAGTTAATCCTATCTTGATAACCTGTATTGGAGGTTTTATTACCTCGTATAATATCTCCGCTGGTGCTGTATAGAATTTTATATAAAATAAATTTCCTTTCGTAACTCTTTTGTATGTGACGAATGCTTTGTGTAGTTCTGGTATTCCACTAACTTCTTCTCCATCGTATGTGTATACGGTATTTAACAATCCGTAGTTGTAACATGTTCTTACTAAATTAACGTTAGTTTTCGGTTGTGCAATTAACTTGTTATATCCTTGTAACTTTTGTGTCAAATAATCCTGGTTTAGTTCTTTTGTAGTTGACCTGGGGTTGCGGTTTAAATAAGTTTGGATTTTGTGGATATTTTCAATATAGGTTCGTGTGATATAGTTATATGTCTTTTTCTCATTTTGGTTTTGCAAACTATCTGCGTAAGTAGATGTTTGTGGTTTTATGGACATATGTCTAGGTGTCCTTTGGGTAAATGATTTTTCGAATAGCTGGTTTAAGTTAGCATTTTTATATTGTTTATCACTAACTTGTTTGCTTGTACCTGCAGCTATATTTAAACAAATGTTATGGGTTTTAAGGAGTTTCCCATCGTCTCCTTTTAGCTATGGGTTTTTTTCGTCTTCCGATCGACGTAGCTCCGCATTTTTATAGTCATGCTGCTGACTAGCTTTATACTTCAGATTATCTTTATTAGTCTTTAGCTTTTGTATCTCGTTGTCCATACTGTCCACTTTTATACAAAGTGTAGGTATGGCTTTGAGTATCTCTTCCATTGTATTTTCGTTCTCAGTC